TAAGTACTCGACTCATCGTGAATGATGCAATGGTTGCTACCCTTGATTTTGAGCTCGCTTCTGTAAAACGAGTTTGTTGTGTAGTAAGCTGTGATTTCAGTTCATGAACTTTCCTCTTTCATAGCTCACTTTTGGGTGGGAAATCATTATCATACTTCTTGTGAAAACTTTTGAAGTGCCTTTAAGGATTTTCTTTCTTAGCTAGAGCTGGAGACGCATGGCAGATCAAGCACAGACACTTCAAATTATTCATGGTAAAAAAATAGTCTTCTTCCCATTCATTGTGAAAATGGTAAATTTGGGTATTTTTCGTACTTGGTCCGGAAGTCATTTTTGGTTCAGTTGATGGCCAATTACCTATACTGTATTTGGAAAAGATTAAGTCGTACGTCAATACGAGAATTACTTTTTCCATGACTTTTCCTACATGAATATGAGAATTACTAACGTAACAGCGTAACGTTCTTGCCTTTTTATTTTATAAGCAATTGTCATCGGCTAGTGTGGACTCTTCTGTCTACTCTAGGGTTGTGGCGATAACTGTCGCTAAGCTAAAAAGTCAGTAATTCTTGTAATCACCCAAGACTTTTCCATAACAAGAGGCAGCACCTCACACTTCCAAGTATTGCAGATGGCTGAAAATCACTGCATTGTTGGTGACAAGTGTGTAGGCTCGCTGGGCAAGGTTGCCAAATATGATTCTCTCTCTCTTTACTTTTGACAAGACTCATCAATATCGAGTCGACTTTTTCATTACTAAATTCATTAATACAAGGTTTAACGTGTATTTGTAAACTTATAAACGCAAATGCCTGAATAGTTTTAGCCTACAACTGATGACAACTCGCCGATCAGTTTCCTCACCAGGAACCAGCCAGCACCGGCCCATATGAACGCGAACACTTCCAATCAGGTTCCGCCACACACAGCATGGCACAGTCGAAGTTTTTTTTGTATGTATCGCTCTGATGTATCCATAATGATAATCTATTCCCAGAAAAAAATCTAAACAAATATAATATCCAGATGATTATGAGTAAAATTTGAAGAGGATTTTTGTATGGCAGCTTAAAAAGGATGGATTGTAGGGTTTCGTGATATAATGTTGTCTAGCACTCAGGATGGATGGAAACTCTAAGGTGGTTTTCTTGTATAATATAAGTTATATGATAGACAGTCTGGTGCTGGAGGTGCCGTGTGGTGAGGAGCTGCTCAGTAGGCACGTTCGGTGCTAGCGTGTTGAAGGAGGTAGATGTGCAGGAGCTTCGTTAGAGAAGATGTTGCCTGTTGCTGGCCTCCAGGTTGAATGAGAACGGGACAGCGAGGAGCTTGCTTGGAGGAGGTGTTGCGTGTTCAGGAACCGAGAGCATAATGAATCTCAATGGAGAGACAGAGCTTATATACACAGCAGCCGTGAGTCAGCCGTGAGTCATGGTGGGAAAACCCGGGAAGTAGCCTGTCTTTTGGCTCTGTTGCTAGGATACTGTGGCATCTGGTGACGCCCCCCCCTGGGCCGCTCGTTTGGTTGCTAGGGAAGACGTAGCAGGTGGCATGCGGCTACGCAGTTGTAGGGGAGACGTCCACTACAGGATCATTAAGTTTAACTTTGCCATGTAATCGACCAGTCGATTGTGATCGACAGGTTGGCCACCCCTGCTATAGAGGGTCCTTGTCTAGAAATTGCGCGTGTGTATTTCACTTTTTCCTGGCAAGCTCAATCTCTGATTAGATTATAAAAATTGACGTCAGAAATTCACCTGACCCATGGCATTGATTTTCATAGTTAAATGTACAGCGACTGAGTTGAATGTAATTTCTGTCATTGCGTGATTAGCCTTTCTGGCAGCTGTACCGTACAGGCCTGAGTTGCCAGTTAGCCGTATATAAACTCATGCACGGGTAACACACACCTGGTGGCCCAAGAGCCTCCATGCTAACATAGAAGAACAAGATCCACTTTACACATATATGTGAAGAAATATCACCACCATCTAACAAACATAAATTAACACCCATTACACCAGTGGCGGCTCGTCGGTAGGCACTGTGGAACTGCAGCACCCCCTATTTCACCCGATATATATGTATTATATAATATAATATATCATATATGTTTATTTATTTATACTTGTACAAGACATTTAAAACTATTATCAATAATCCTTAAACGTAATATCAATGGCCATCCTCTAATTCCGAGAAAAAAAAAAAATCCCTGTATGTGGAACTGTCTTACTCGACAGTTCCAATAACGGGCGTTTGCTTTGTCTCACGCATGCGCGCATGTCCTGGAGGCAAGCGGGGGGGAGCACTGTGGATCACACAGTGCCGATTTGGTTATCATGTGGGAGGTAGTGTTACGATCATCGCTTTCTCTGCTATATCATATTTGAATGTGATAAATTGAGATGATGTGATATCATACTGTATGATATCACATCATCTATTATCCTGATCCGCTCTTCGTCGCTGAGCCAGACAATCATTATATTCATACTCATAGAGGCTACATTTGAAATAAATTTACGAGGGGTCCGCTAATCTGTTCCTTACACTCTTTCAAAACTCGAGGGAAAATTTCATCTAGCCCTGGGGAATTTGTCTTCATCAATTTATTTATCTTCTTAAGAACATCCTCTTTTCTGATAGTGATATTATTTAATTTCTTTCTCGATTTCCCCAAAATATCAGTTCCACCTCTGGCATTTCCTCGTGAATTTCTTCTGTGAAAACTGATAAGAAGCAGCTGCTTATGCTTTGCTTATTTTCTTCGTATAATCGATCACTTCCCCTCTCTCTGACTTTAAAGGCCCCACTTTGTTCTTGACCTTTGTCCAATATACCTGGAAAAATCCCTTGGAATTCGCCTTGGATTCTCTTGCTATCCTGATTTCGTAGTCCATCTTTGCCTTCTGTACATTTTTCTTAACATTCCTAGATAGTTCATTATACCTATTTCTGAGATGCTCTTCTCCTCCTTTTAATTTCTTATAAATTCCTTTCTTTATTCTTATGTCATGTTTAAGTTTTTTGGTCATCCACCTTGGCTCATTCTTATTTGACCTAATTTTTCTGTAGGGTATACAGTATTTTGTTCTTGTGCTTTATGTAGTATACTAGTGAATATATTAGTCATGATCAATTGTTGTGTCGCCTGTGACCTCACCCGTTCCTACTGGGGACTGACCTAATTCTTTTAAATTTTCACAGCTGGTTAAGGAGTCTGGTAAGATATTGGAAGCATAATGTGTTGTCTAATGGTAGACCCTGCTGCCATATGGCATCACGAAAACTGTGACCAATTTTCAGGTTACTGATCTGACTTTCTGCCTAATTTACACACAATTGCAGGGTCTCAATTGTTTCTCTTACTATTGACAACACAACATACATAATGAAAATTATTTCTCACTATTGATCTTTTTTTTCACATTTATTTACGGCTCTACAGTATTATTATTATTATTATTATTATCATTATTATTATTATTATTATTATTATTATTATTATTATTATTATTATTATTATTATTATTATTATTATTATTATCATCATTGCTATTACTATTACTATTACTACTATTATTACTATTATTATTATTATTATTATTATTATTACTATTATTATTACTACTATTATTACTATTACTATTATTATTACTATTACTATTATTATTACTATTATTATTATTTTTATTATTATTATTAATTATAATTATTATTATTATTTTGCCCTCCAGTCCCCTATGTGGGTCAGTGAACTGTGCCCTGGTGGGCTAATACCTGTAAAGAAAAGACTAATTTGTGGTAATTCTTCACAATCAGTTGCCACTAGCTCCTGTGAATTTGTAGCTGACTGACTAGCTGAGTCTGAGTCACTAATTTCCTGTTTGAAACCCCAAAATTTTGGAAGAGGGTCCATAAATGGGGATATGTATCACTTCACTTGCAGCATAACACACACTAAGTTGCCCACTCAAGGAGTAATGCAAAAGTATTTATAATGAGTTATGGGAATGAAGAGAAAGAAAATTATAATTATTATTCAAATTGTTAAAAAGTATGAAAAGTATATATGATTAATGTAAGACCTTTCTTTCTATATAAATGTGTGTTTAGTTTTGCTTTTAGGCTATTGTGCATATAGTTTATTTTTATACTGACTATGTGTGAAAACTTCTTGAAGTTCACTTGCATTTGTGTAGTCTGTAAAATAATGATTGTTCGTGATCTACCTGACCGAGGAGTCCGTAGAGTTTCGACGTAGGGTGGTGATGTCTGAAGTCGATGATGTTCTACTCTGAGAAGGATGACGTAACACGTCTTGCGGCGATCATCCTGGGGGCTGACCTTTCTTGCGGTGATTAACCTGGGGTTCTGACCTCTCTTGTGGCGATCAACCTGGGGCTGACTTTTCTTGCGGCGATCAATCTGGGGCTGACCTTTCTTGCGCACTGGAGAGGTTTGATTGTTAAGGAAGAGGTTGCTTGCTTGTCTGGAACAACGATGACAACCTTCCTAGTACTCTTATGTTGTAGTGCTGGTTGTTAGTTGGCTGGCCGTTTGCTGGCTGCTACACTAGGACAACATTCGGGTGGGCTCGGTTGATCTTGGCTCCAGTTGGGTGACCATGACCAGGAGCAAATGTAACAAAACCTCTCGCGACGACAGCCAGGCGGCTACTGGGTTACTGTGGCTGCAGTGAGGCAGTAAGCGCATCATATCATGCAACACTCCCCAAAAATGCCTCTTGCCAGAGATGGCTGCCTCAGTGCTTGCGGCCCACCCGCAATACAAAAAACGTCAAAAATGGTCTAATGCAACACTATGAGGCCTTGTGTGGATGGGGCTTTACTTGGTGTTTTGAAACAGGTGTTGTTGTTACCATTTCCTATATCCCTTAAGCGCAGTAAAGAGCGACAGCCTGGCACAAAAGAGCTGACTATTATTATGTAAGGACAATAAACTTAATCATTAATGGATAATTAAGCACATAGATATTAAGTTAATCTGTTTATTAGTACCTCTACAGTGAATGTATTTGAATCAGTATTGGTGGTGAAGAAAGTTCTTTTATACTGTTTAATATATGTTTTTCATATATGTGTATGAATCCACATGTATACACATACTCATTATGTATTTTACTCATAAAACAGCACCCAAAGACACACAGCATGGTATATATTATTTGCTGTGTTCAACAGAATTCAAGCATAAGCACCAGCCGTGAGGGAAAGCAAGTCATTCAAAAGGAATGTGTATTATACGTATAATAATAACTGGAGGAGTGCAAATAATCCAAGGGGAGTGTGCATTATTTACGTATAATAATAACTGGGAGAGTGAAAATTATACGTATAATAAATGACTGGGAGTGGATATACTGGGGGAGTGCATAAAAATGCTACACCTGAACACACCGCCGGCCACAAGCAGGTTCCAAACAGCAGTAGCCCCGTCGACCATCCCTGTTACACTCTCCGTCGTTGTTGCAAGCGTGGATGAAGGCGAAGCAGGCAATGGACCGGTCTTTGGGAGGACAGAAGGCGCTGTGGGAAAGACTTTTTATGAGACTGGAGAAGTCTTTGAGGCTTAGAAGGTTGATACATCCAGTAACTATAAAAGAAATTCTGGAACAGAGTCATAGGCCTATGGAGAAGGCTTCTATGATTTTTTAACCTAAACTAATTCAACCAAAGGTAACTTAACCTAACCTAACTTATGAAAAGATTCGTTTTATGCCAAACTGGATTTTTATTACTATAAGAGTGTTTTCTTGTTTGTTTTGTTGTGATTTTAACGAATATGACATTTATTTTGGGGGGTTAATGCTTATTTAATGAAGTTATTGAGATATGGCCTCTTTAACACAACTGTAGTAACGGCAATGAATCCTTCTAAACCGGGCAGGGCTTGTAGGATGAAGGAAAATGCAGAGCTAAAAACAAAAGCTTTGAAAACCTGACCTAACCTTTCCTAACATAATAGTCCTAATCCCTTATATATATATATATATATATATATATATATATATATATATATATATATATATATATATATATATATATATATATATATATATATATATATATATATATATATATATATATATATATATATATATATATATATATATATATATATATATATATATATATATATATATATATATATATATATATATATATATATATATATATATATAAATAAATATATATATATATATATATATATATATATATATATATATATATATATATATATATATATATATATATATATATATATATATATATATATATATATATATATATATATATATATATATATATATATATATATATATATATCATGCAAATTTATATGATGCAGGTATACGGGTACAATGTATAAACAAACAATGGAAATAAATGGTATTTGTTCACAAACAATGTATATAGACATTGTAAGTATACAAACAATGTAAATATATAATGTATGTATACAAGCATTATAGAGAGTGGAGGTATACAAACATTGGATATAGACAGTGCAAGTTAAAAATGTACACATTATAGGCATAAAGACAATGTACACAGTGTAGGTATAAAACCAATGGTAAATTGAGAGTTCATTCAACCAAAGACAGAGATCAAAGCCACCATCTGCTCATCGGTCGGATTCTTTGCTTAGGCTGGGGTATTAATCAGCATTAATAAACCTAAATAAATAGACAATGATTAACGTTTTGATATACGTAGGAATGAGATGAATTTTACAAGTACGTGACGGCTCCCATTTGTTTATAATTCTGATTAAATCACGAAATTCTTGTAATAAAACTTTAAAAACAAACTTTTAAAAACTCACGATTGTGTTTGCTGAACTCTGGTGAGGCAAGTCTTGCCACAGTTGACCTCACAACAGTACTTGTCATTTCCACACTGCGAGTTAGACACACACGAGTCACCACACAAGTATCCGTGGTCGTTGAGAGGTGGGCACACAGCATGCGGCATTGGACTGTAAATTTTAGAATTAACATTTGAACATCTTGGGGGGAACATGAGGAAGTTCTCACATCACCATGTTTTCTATATATTAACATGAAGTGAAGGCTGAAAAAAATGAGGTCTTCATTACCATTTCTCACTTCTGGTGAACCATTTTAACGTTACCTGGTGTTTAGGTTAGGTTAGGTTAGGTTATACGTGTTGGGAAGGTTCATCATTAAGTTAGGTTCAAGTTAGGTTAAGTTAGTAAGGTTATGTCATGTTATGTAATAGTATTATGTTAGCAGTGGGTGAATAATAAGTTGGTTAATCTTACAGTGAAATAAGCTGGGGGCTAATCTTTAGGTGACCTCCTTAGCACACACTAATAGGTATACAACTATAAGATTCCATCAAAATCCAGATTATGAAAATTATGAATGGAGATTTCCATACAAATATATCACGAAAATCAAAGAAATTGTATTAATTATTTTTAATTATTTTAGAAATCTTGAAGAAAAAGTAGACAGGATCATATTAGCTTATTTCACCTGATGATTAAACACACTAATCTAACCTAACCTAATATTAATCTGACATAAACTAATCTATCATAACTTAATCAAATCTAACCTTCGGTAAGCAAATGTGACCTCTCCTAACCCCCCCTCCCCAGGTAGCGTTTGGGTGTTCAATTATCATTTTAAAATGCTTGATGCTAATCTGGTCCGGAAGACATACTACGGTTAAGAAGTCATATATTTAATTAAAGAACAGTCTTATTATGTCAGCTATCATGTTATTAGAGATATATTGTAGTGTTGTACCATTTCACACACAATGTGCTTCGACCTATCCGTAAAAGGTTCTATCTTCACATAATCAATTCAATTTCAATTTCAATTGTTTATTCCTTGATAGACGAAGCGGGATCCTAGTGCTGTCACTAGGTACCCCTGTACAATGACACCAGAAGCATCTGGCAAGTGTGACAAGTATATACAGTATAAATATTATAAAGGGGCTTACTAAAGCCTAAGGAAGGAAGGATATTCATTTAAAACATAATCAAAGTTATTTACATAATATCTGGCCAGTATGGGGAGGATCATCGTGTCTCCGTCAGGAGGTCGTGGAGTGGTGGTCCAGCAGGCGTCACGGAAGCGTTGTTTGTGGGGACATCTTAGGAGGTAGTGGATAAGGGTGCGGCTGTCGGGTCTTCTGCATAATGCACAAGAGCGTTGCTCAGGGGATGCGGGGATACCAATCTCCCAAGCAAAGTCATACCCAATGATGATACGGGCAGCAATCACGTCCCTTTTCCGCGACCCTTTCCCATAGACATACGAGAGGTCAGGAAGTTTACGGAGGACATCGTACCAGGTGGGCGGGGAGTCCAGGGGAATGGCTGCTTCCCGAGCTTCTCTCTGTTTGAGGCGAATTTGGGTCCTAAGCTGTAAAAGTGTTCCAGGAACGACGTAGTCAGGTGTGGCCTTGTTGCAGCCAGTCTTGGCAAGGCCATCTGCTGCCTCATTCCCCAAGATACCGACATGACTGGGTATCCATAGGAATGTCACAGGACGGCCTGCATCCTGAAGTATGGATGTTAACCCTCGTATTAGGAGGATGAGGTCCTTATTTTCCCTTGTTCCAAATGCGATCCCGTCGAGAGCAGACCTGGAATCGCAGCAGACAAGCAAGGGGCAGAAACCATCTGCTTCTTCCTCGGCGAGAAGGGCAGCAAGGAGGGCTATTAGTTCAGCCTGAGTGGAGGATGCCCCGTCAGAAACTCTGAGAGACAGTTTGATAGGCTCAGGGGCATCAGGACGGGAGATGTAAACACCAGCCCCGGCCCTACCTGTAGCGGGGTCAACAGAACCATCAGTGTAGAAGACGACCCTACCTGGGGACCAGTGGGCGATCCTAGAGATGTGGTATTTGCAGAGAATAACAGTGTTCACGTGGGATTTCGGGAGCGGTCCACCGAGGGCAATCACTTCAGGTTGAAAATCCAGCTAGGGAGAAGGAGACGAACCAACAGCAGGGGTGACAACAATATCAGGCAGGAGGTCGTGTTCCTGAAGGGCTCGGATGAGTGACCCTCGCCACTGTCTTCTAGATTCACATAATCAAGGACGCAGTGTTCGAGTGTTTTATAGTTACCTGGCCGCACATTTCTCCTTTTTTTTCACATCTACTTGAGGGACATACTACCAGTGGTATTTATATATTAATCTTAGTCTAGCGGTTACAACAATGTGTAATATAGTGATCTTATTACTTGTTCCATATACATGTATTACTTGACACATCTCATCATGGTAAACAATGGATTGATTAATGCTTGTTTGCACTTTTCCGCTTGCGTTAAATTCATCACAAATTATATTTAATAGTGTCTTTGTAAGACGCAAGACCCTCGTCAACAAGATACGCATATTTATGTCTGGCTTCAGAGCCAAGCGCGTGACAACTTAAGCTGAGGGTGTAACGGGCAAGTAGTGAGGATAGAGAATCAGGAATGATGAGACTGTGAGCGACAATGGTTTCAACAAATTTAATGGCTGTGAGTATGGTAACTAAGTCAATTTGTAGAGTGGATGCCCAGTTGTTAATATTAACTCGTTTCTCATTTGTATTACCGTCAGGTTGAGTCACAACGATAGCACTTCCAGCCCTCCCACAGGCAGTGTTAAGAGATCCATCAGTGTAGATGGTCTGTGTGATGTTTATCATCAGTCTGTAGAGTGTGTATGTGTTCAAGAGCTCTCACCTTGACAGCGTGTTGGAGATAAACAGCCGTTTTCCCAGCCGGGATCTAGCTCCCGAACGTGTTCACCTAACCTCCGAACGACAGAGAAAACGGCTGAGAGACTTTGCGTAATTAATCGTTTAGATGGGTATGTCGGTATTGTGATATCGAAGGGAACTGTCCCCCTGGGTGCTAGTCTAGTCCTAACATCTTCATGTGTGAAGCTGTAGTTTAGATCTCATGACTCATATACTGTATTCTAGCAATTCTAAGGGAACAGTGTTGTCAGGAACACCACGCAAAAGCCTCAGGGCTATAATGAGGTTGACAGTGGGTACACTTAGTTCATTCCTCATATTAAGTACTTTAGTCCTCATGAGACAGCCTAGGATAATTGTGAAGGCATTATTTTGTATTTTTTTCGAGTTTGTCAATGCCTTTCCCGTCATGAAAGATCAGCGCTGGTGAGTGGTAATCTCTCAGAGATCTTACATATCCTAGGTATATTGTTTTAACAATTCTAATATTAGCACCATAATGTGGGCTGTACCTCATTGCACTTCTAAGGGGTTTCAGTCTGTTAGTACATTGGCAGGTTAGCTGTTGTTATGGCAGATATATAAGGTACTGCACAAGAGATGAGGACACCAAGAAATTTAAAAGAAGAGACATAGTCAATTATGTTGATTAAAATTCGACGGGGCCGGTTTTCTGTTAGCAGCTTGATTGGTGGCGATCATAATACCGAGGTTCTCACAGGCTGAGGTGTACATGGTTCAGGGTAGTTTGCATTTTAGTCTTACTATGTTAAAGAATATCATCAGCAAAACTGATTGTGATATTGCTGGGCATTAGAACATTTTGTAAACCTGAAACAGTGCAACAGCCCTTCTGTTGGGGAGGTAACCACTTAACAGATGATACCTGTGTCCATTTCGGCTAGTTCGTACAATATAAGTTGCCTATTGGTAATATCAAATGCAGCCTATAAGGCAAATTTGGTGGATCTAAGTGTTGCATCACCATGCACAGTTAGGAATGTGGTAATGCAATTGTGAACACTTTTACCACGGGTGAAGTCATTTACTTTAGGTGACAGGTGTTCTCTGCTTCTGTATAAGAGTCTACCAAGAACCATCATCTCAAGGGTTTTAGACAGGCAGCTGGAGAGTGATATTGTACTGTCCCGGCTTCGGTATCGGTGCCACAATAGTTTTGGTCCATAATGTGGGTATTTGGACTTCGGGATGAATTATATAGTTTAGTGGCAATAATGGATTGCCCGGCACACGCCTTAGTAGTGTTACGATATTGTAGGTAACTCAATCCTCAGCAGGGCAGTACACCTACCCCTGGCGAGGGAAGCGTCAAGCTCCCGCTCGTTATATGAAACATCACACTCATCGTGCTGTTTGCTCAGCGTAAAGTTAATGAGAATACCTCTCTCTACAGACTTCGCATGAAGGAGTTCCTTATTCCTAGTTGGTAACATGTCATAGCTAGAGGCATGAGCTAATGCTCATTCGATATGAGTTGACAGTAGTAGTGATCGTCGTGCAGTGACAGACAGTAGTGGTGGGCGTTGTGTGGAGGTAGACAGTGGTAATGGTTGTGTAGTGGTAGACAGTGGTGGTGGTGGTTGTGGAGTGGTAGCCAGTAGTGGTTGTTGTGTAGTGGTAGACAGTGGTGGTGGTGGTGGTGTAGTGGTAGACAGTGGTGGTAGTGGTTGTGTAGTGGTAGACAGTGGTGGTAGTGGTTGTGTAGTGGTAGCCAGTAGTGGTTGATGTGTAGTGGCAGACAGTGGTGGTGGTTGTGTAGTGGTAGACAGTGGTGGTGGTGGTGGTGTAGCGGTAGACAGTGGTGGTAGTGGTTGTGTAGTGGTAGCCAGTAGTGGTTGTTGTGTAGTGGCAGATAGTGGTGGTGGTTGTGTAGTGGTAGACAGTGGTGGTGGTGGTTGTGTAGTGGTAGCCAGTAGTGGTTGTTGTGTAGTGGCAGACAGTGGTGGTGGTTGCGTAGTGGTAGACAGTGGTTGTTGTTGTGTAGTGGCAGACAGTGGTAGTGTTCGTTGCGTGGAGGTAGAGAGTGATGGTGGTTGAGTAGTGGTAGAGAGTGGTGGTGGTTGTGTAGTGGTAGACAATGGTGTGGTGGCTGCGTAGAGGTAGGCAGTGGTGGTGATGTTTGTGTAGTGGTAGACAGTGGTGGTGGAGGTGGTAGTGGTAATCAGTGGAGGTGGTTGTGTAGTGGTAGACATTAGTGGTGGAGGTGGTAGTTTTGGTGGAGGTTGTGTAGTGGTAAACAGTGGTGGTGG